CTCAAAATATGTAACTGATTTGCTAATTAACGTGTGATGTGGTCTGTTGTTTAAAGTTAAGTTGTTTTTAATTAAACTAACTTAGCTTCTAGATATATGTTAAAGAAGATTAACCTGTATTTGTGAAGAAACAGATTATGTTGAAATAATGCTGGTGTTTCGTGAACTCTGTAAAAAAAATTAAGTCAAGTGCTTTAATATTCTAATGTCATTTGAGAGTTCAAAGAAAAAAGGAGTTTAACATAACACACTATACTTTTACAGCTATAATCTGATCCACTGTGACGTGACTTGTTATATATAATCGAATGACTCACAAATATCCATTGAATGATTTTAAAATTATTAAAAACACAGTATGTCAATATGTGCACTACGTTAGTAATACCATAAATATCATTATTTTGTTGACAATGTTATAAGATTTATTGGGAAAAAAATCGATGTTGTATGGTCATTGTTTGAAATGGATATTCAATAAACTGATAAGTTGTTCAAACATATCATTTCGAAGTACAAATAAAATAATGCACACATTTTGAAGACTGGGCTACTTGACAAGGAAAGCTATCTTGTAACATAGAAAGCAAAGAAGTGAGTGGACCAACAGTTTGACTGTCAACCTTCAAGGAACTTACATGTTGAACGAATTCGAATTTTTATTCAGTTGTAATTTCAACAAATACTCGTAGTTAGTAGGATAGAATTAACCTTGATATATAATGATTCTGATTCACTACAGTCAAGGATTTCTAGGAACTTATTAGGTAAAATAAAGAAAAATCTTTCTCTTTAAAGAGGCAATAAAGTACAGTAACACAATTAACTGGGGAGAATGCCAAAGCCACCTCATACAAAGTCCTTGGTCTACCTCCAAAACTTTTTCCAACTTCCAAAAAGCAATTTATGGCTATCTAAGCGCAAAGAGCGGTATCATACTGCTTTTAAAGGTTTTAATTGGCTTAACACTTCCATTTTTATGTCGTGATTGGTCACTGTAAGATACGTCATATATCCGGTTTTTTAGGTTAAGAAACAAGTGCAAATACTCTTACCGGATCTATCTCTTTAGACAACTTACACATTTCATTTTGAGAAAGCATCACTCTTCTTAGAATGCTGTTATGTTAAACATGATAAAGTAATTTATTTCACCATTCTTGAAATAATTGCTGTGCATTCCACATTTCGGATTGGATCATAGTTTTAATTCGGGCACAATTTACGAGCACAGATATAAGTTTTAGTTTTCATCGATATTGTATATCGTGATTTTGGATGAAAGTTTTGCTTTAAAGTGGCTTTATGTTCTATAACGAAATAAAGTGGCTTTTTCACGATTACCTGAGGGGGAGAAGGGAGTCCGAATCGAATGGTCTAATCTGTGAGGCTTTGGAACTTACAGGTACTAATGGTGTGTGACCAAATAGATATGTCACAGGACATATTAAATAAAGTATTATAATTACAAAAAGTTGGGGAAAAAGTTACCACATTCGATCTTTCAAAGAAAGATTAACTTTAAAATTGCCCCACACCCCAGTAAGTATGCGGTATTATAACGCTAGAACGGTTTCGATACCCGTGGTGGGAACAGCATAGATAGCCCATTGTGTAGCTTTGTGCTTAGCTACAAACAAACAGACTGTAAAATTGCATTTTAACGGAATTTTGATAATGAAAAGTTGAAACCACTGAAAGAGAATATACTGTATACGATTGTCAAAAGGGGAAAAGATAGAAGTAACTTTTGCATGTTTGTATACAATTTTTTGATTGTGTACTTGGAAGTACAATTTTTTGTAAGAACTTACAAGGGAATACGTCAATCAAAAATGTTTCTTTTAGCCAATAAAAGAAGGGAGAATGGAGTACTACACGTGTGCCTTAATTAAAAAGATATTATCATGCAAATCAGGTAATTTTAGTCTTAAATATTTTATTGTTTCTACGTTTTCATCATACATTGCTGCTAATTATGGGCATAAAATAACGGATATTAACACTTACTGTGAATTGCATGCGAGTATATGTGTGTGTGTGGGGGAGGGGGTAGCTGCTGTAATTTTGCATGAGCATGACTGTAACCAGAAAGTGTAATTCATGATAATCTGAACATTCTCAGTTAAAATATTAGAGGAGTATCTACATCTTCGCAGAAATTAAAATAAAATCAAAAAAATGTAGTTCATTATACAGTTAAGATGTTTTTGTAAGCCTTCCCTTAACCTGACTTTTATGTTCTCATTACAGATAGTTTGTACAATCAAGGTTTTAGTTCATCTACATCATGAGGTACATCAATTTTTCAAGACTAACCTTCATTTTCGTGATTGCCGTGGCCTTTTTTATTTCGAAAAGTTCCACATTAAGCAGTGGAGCTCCGCCTTTGGCATGTGAAAAAATGATCCCTAGACATGGAGTTCCTCCTCAGAACTCATCTGCACCTTATATTCTATCAGCAAAGATAAAACCTGATTCAAATGAAAATGTCTTAGAAGGTATCCGCGTTTGCTGTTTATTCCAGCTTTTAGTAATAACAACAACATAAAATTGGATTTAGTATTTTTTTTTATTTTCGGAAGCAAAATCGCTAGAAATAACTTTAATGTTATAACTTCCTTTAAAATTATAATTTCTGTGTATTTTAATAGCTGTTTTGTATAATATATTGGTAAATATTTGGTCAAAGGTACTGTTACGTCCCTGTTCGTTTGTTACTTTTCCGTAACAATTCTTTCCGAAGAAACTTTTCAGTATAATTCCCATAAACGTTATACACACCATACACTTGGTTAAATTTATACAGTACACACTTATGAAAAAATAAATGTACACCAACTTAAATTATAATTAAGGCAATAACATTTCAAATTTGATCGGTCCCATCACTAAAACTTGACATGCTAGAGGAAAACCAAAAACAGATTTGGAATCAGCGTCCCAAAAGCTATCTAGCCCACCTATAATTATATCTGATAAAAATGACTTGTTGGTCAGTGTAATCAGTATTAGCGAAGTTAAAAAAAAGGCTTACTTGAATACGTCTGTGATTCACCTGAAAGGTTTTTTTAATCATCCACATGTTATAAAGTTTGTTTTATCGCATGATGAAGACCATGTTGTCAGTATTGGGAGTTGGATAGTG